GAAAAAAAAAAAAAAAAAGAAAACAAGGAGTGGTTGGGAGCTTCAGTCACTCGCCAGCCGGAAAACAGCCCTCAGCCCCTCACCCAGACTGGCCAGGCACCCCAGTGGGGCCCCCCACCCTGAAGGGGGTGTGACCAGCTACAAACAGCCATCAGCCTGTCATCCAGGCTGGCCAGGCACCCAAGTGGGACCCCCACCCTGATCTGGATCACCCTTCAGGGCAAACCAGCCGGCCCCCACCCGTGTACCAGGCCTCTATCCTATATAATAAAAGGGTAATATGCAAACTGACCCTAACAGCAGAAAGACTGGAAATGACTGGTCACTATGACACACATTGACCACCAGGGGGCAGACGCTCAATGCAGGAGCTGCCCTCTGGTGGTCAGGGCGCTCTCACATTGGAGGAGCTCTGCTCAGCCACAAGCCAGGCTGATGGCTGCCAGTACAGCGGTGGTGGTGGGAGCCTCTCCTGCCTCCTCAGCAGTGCTAAGGATGTCCGACTGCAGCTTAGGTCTGCTCCCTGCTGGCAAGTGGGCATCCCCCGAGGGCTGCCAGGCTGCCAGAGGGATGTCTGATTGCCATCTTAGGCCCAATCCCCTGGGGAGCAGGCCTAAGCCAGCAAGTGGTCACCCTGAGGGGTCCCAGACTGCGAGAGGGCACAGGCCGGGCTGAGGGACCCCCTACCCCCGAGTGCACAAATTTTTGTGCACCGGGCCTCTAGTCCTATATAATAAATGGGTAATATGTAAATTGACCATAACAGCAGAACGACTGCTGGACCAGTCACTATGAGGTGCACTGACCACCTCTTGGTCCCTTTCCCTGGCCGGCAGGCTCCGATCACCTGATGGCCACCCACAGCGGGGGCAGGGCCAGTGAGCAGGTGGGAACAGTGTACCTCTCTATCCCTTCCCCCACTGTCAGGCACTGATCACCCAATGGCGGACAGGGAACAGAGGGTGGGTGCAGTGGGGAGCGGGACTGGCTGCGGGCAGCTGGGGAAGATGGCCCTAATCACAGGCTATGCCTAGGGACTGTACCCACACATGGATTTCGTGCATCAGGCCTCTAGTCTACACTAATAAAAGAGAAACATGGTAATTAGCGTACGACCGCTACCCTTCCCATTGGCTAATCAGCATATCCTTATGCAAATTAACTGTCAGCCAAGATGGCGGCCGGCAGCCATGCACTGAAGCGAACAGGGAGGCTTGCTTGCTCCAGTGACTGCGGACTCCAACGTTCCCCGCCTAACTTGCCGGCCTCTCAGCTGCAACTCTAAGCAACTATGTTGCAAATATAGAAGCTAAACAAAACCCCAGAAACCGGCTTTCAGTCAGCCGGGCTTCAGCCAGCCTGACCACAACATTGTATCAATGTTTTCAGGAGTGAGGCCTCAGAGCTAAAGCTGGCCCAGAATGAAAAAGAAAAAAAGGAGCGGTTGGGAGCTTCAGTC